TTCGGGTTTATCTTGATTCGCGGTGACGTTTCCTTGGCGAGATGCTCAGAAGGGAAGCGTTTTGCTTCCTTCTTCCCAGAGCTGAGAGAGAAGACTGGCCCATAATCCCCCAGCTGGCTTGGTGCTTCAGGCAGGATTAGAACTTGGGTCTCCCTGTGGTTTGTCACCATTAGAGAAACTGGTTCTCATTTCCGAAGGCTGCCTCTTAATAACAAGTGTTGAAAGAAAGATTTGCAGATCGTCCTCAGTTTATGACCACAATCTGGACAAGAATTTCCGTTACCAAAGAAGGTGGTTGTTTACTGAGTGGTGCCTGGGAGGGGAGAAGAGCAGAGGGGAGGGGAGGGGAGGGAGGGAGGGAGGGAGGGAGGAAGGGGGAGTGAGAAGAAAGGAAGAGGGGGTAGGGAAGAAAGAAGAAAGGAAGAGGGAGGGAGCATGGGGAAGGAAGGAAGGAAGGAAGGAAGGAAGGAAGGAAGGAAGGAAGGAAGGAAGGAAGGGGGGTAGGGATGAAGGAAGAAAGGAAGAGGGAGGGAGCATGGGGAAGGAAGGAAGGAAGGAAGGAAGGAAGGAAGGAAGGAAGGAAGGAAGGAAGGAAGGAAGAGGGGGTAGGGATGAGGAAGAAAGGAAGAGGGAGGGAGCATGGGGAAGGAAGGAAGGAAGGAAGGAAGGAAGGAAGGAAGGAAGGGGGGGTAGGGATGAAGGAAGAAAGGAAGAGGGAGGGTGGGTGGGAGGAAGGAAGGAAGGTAGGAAGAAAAGGGAGTGATGAAAGGAAGAGGGAAGGAGGAGTGATGGAAGGAAGAGAAGGAAGGAAAGGGAGGGAGTGATGAAAGGAAGTGGGAAGAAGGGAGAGGGAGGGAGTGATGGAAGGAAGGAAGGAAGGAAGGAAGGAAGGAAGGAAGGAAGGAAGGATGGAAGGAAGGAAGGAAGGAAGGAAGGAAGGAAGGAAGGAAGGAAGGAAGGAAGGAAGGAAGGAAGGAAGGAAGGAAGGAGCTTGACTTCACCAAGGCGATGCTAAAGGACCTGCCTGAAGCCCTCCAGGTTTCTATTCTCCTCCTTCGATAGAGCCTGCCTATTCCCAGGCAAGGTCTCTCCAAATGGCAGAAGAGGAAAGCAATAAGAGATGCATGGTTAGCTTACTTCCCCGTCACTGCGCTTCTTTGAAGAAAAGACAGCTGAACTGGATAAAATTTTTGGCTCTGTTCTTTCAGCTGCTTCTCAATCTCTCCTTTGTTCCTTGGCTTCCAGATCTCCTTGCAGGCATTTGGCAAAGAGAGTCCCTGTCCTTCCACGGGGCAGCCTAGAGTTAAAGCGATAGAAACTCACCTGGTTTAAGGTCAGATGCAAAGACTGGCCATCGTCTATGGCAGGGGTTCTCAACCTTGGCAACTTTAAGACTTGTGGACTTCAACTCCCAGAATTCCTCAGCCAGCCAAGCTGGCTGAGGAATTCTGGGAGTTGAAGTCCACAAGTCTTAAAGTTGCCAAGGTTGAGAACCCCTGGTCTACAGACAGCCCCCTGCTCAAGCAGGAGAACCTATACCGTCTCAGACAGGTGAATGTCTAGTCTCTTCTTAAAAATCTCCAGTGAAGAAGCTCCCACGATTTCTGGTGGCAAGCTGTTCCACTGGTTAATTGTCCTCACTGTCAGGAAGTTTCTCCTTAATTCCAGCTTGCTTCTCTCTTTGATCAGTTTCCAACCATTAGTGACCCTTTGAAGTTACAACGGCACCGAAAAAATTGACTCATGACCAGTTGTCCCACTCTTGCGGCCGTTGCAGCATCCCCATGGTCACGTGATCAAAATTCAGACGCTGGGTCCGTATTTATGACGGCTGCAGCGTCCCGGAGTCACGCAATCTACACCTTTTGCGACTTTCCGACACGCAAAGTCCATGGGGGGGGCTAGCTTCACTTCACAGCCGTGTTACTAATGTAACTAACGGAAGCAATTTGCTTAATAGCTCTGGCAAGGACGGTCGTAAAATGGGGCAAAGCTCACTTAACGAACGTCTTAACTTAATAGCAAAAATTTGGGGCTCCACTATGGTCGTGAGTCAAAGGCTTACCCGTATTTCTGGGACAATCTGGGCGATGAAGACCGAGGGACTCAAATCCCAAACAATATCAGAAAGAACAATCCATCTTCCAGATTATAATGGTATGCGAGAAAGACCTTGGGAGATAAGGTGCAGAGATGCTGCCTAAGGAGCGGTGACCGAATAGACGGCATAGCCCACCGCTGCATAAAGGGTGGAGAAAGAGGATCGGGAGGGATCCTCCCTGGTTATTGTGCTGTAATGGAAGCGGAGAGGAGAACTGTGTTTCCAGACGTGCAAGATTCTGTTAATGTAGCTTTACAATGGAGTAGAATTAGCTTACTTGGTCGTGTTTCCTGTCTGCTCTATCTGATAAAGCTGACACAGATACAACAGCAGCACAATAATGGATGGTTGTCCATCAGCCTTGTAAGTCAAAGGGATGCTTGAACTAGATGTTCTTGGCTTCCCTCTGAAATACGAAGAGCATCAAGACCAAACATGTCTCCATGGGGGAAGGGTATACTCCAAAGCGTTCCTCTGAGAAGACCTAACCTTGAATCAGAGACCACGTAGCTCCTGCAAGGTGGAACCCTCAGGAGACCTTCTCTAGATGTTTGGACTGGGTGGAGCTAAGTCACAATTGGCAAGGCGGTTTTTGATATACTGTATCTTGCTGCTGCAGTTGTCTATGGCCTTACGGGACTAACCAATAATAGCGTATGGATAGCAACGACTCCAGTGATGTCAAACTAGATTTGCCTGGAGCAGTGTGGCCATCACATTCTCTCCTGATGTAATTTCCAAGCCACCTCCAGATACCATACCTTGTGATATTTGGGAGTTGTTTCATCTCACTCCCTGTGATGTTAATGACCCTTCACATCTGATTGTGGGTTCCTACCGCTTCTTTGGAGTTTTCCAACACAACGACATTAAAATTCCAGAACTATCAACTAGATTCTTGTCCCCAAGTTAAATATACATACCGGTAGGTAAAAATGAGTAGGAGAAAGGACAGAGCAGTCAAATATTAACTCCCCCTTGCAACGGGAGGTTAGGTATCAAAGGTCACTTTAAAAAGAAAAAGCACAGGGATTGCTTAAAATGGTGGCTAAATTCATATCACTCCCTGAAGAAACCAATGTTCTGGTTTTGCAAAATGCAGTGTGCCTTCAACTGGATCAGCAGGTCTTTGTAAACGGAGTATCTTAAGCCACTGAAGAAGATGACAGGAAAGCTAACCAACATGAAGTCTCACCCAGCTTACCAATAAAGGAGAATATTTGTAGCCCAGGGTTGAAATGAGGGGTGGTTTTCTTGCAAATGTTTCATTACCAAACTAGGTAACGTCATCAGTGTTAGAAGGCAGGGAGGGTTGGGGGGGGGAGAAGGAGGAGGAGGAAGATGAGAAGGACATAGGGTCCCTCTTTTCTTGCAGAAGTTGCATTGCCCAAACTAGAGAACCTCACCAGTGCTAGTCCTGGCAGTAATGAAATCTCTGCAAGCTTCTTACAGAGCAACTGAGGACCCCTTACCCAACCTAGCCTGCTGTGTGAATGCATCTGCTGGTAGCTTACCTGAAGGGGTTCCTCTCGTGATGGGGGATAATTGAGTCAGACTTTCTGAGCATCAGAGTTCTCCAGGGTATGCTTGAGGTTTGGGTTGTGTTGTTAGGCGCTTCTGTCTCAGTGTAAACATAGGCACCGAGAGAGAGATTTGGATTGCTCTGCCCTTGGCCTGCTTTCAAACACAAATGGAGGATTTTTGACACAACCGTTCTCTCTTCCTAAGGAACTGAGACTCTTCTGTTTATATAGTCGCTTTCCAACATGCTTACAGTTTCTTGGCAGTGCAGGAAGCAGCTGAGATGGCGAGATGCTTGTTGATCTTTTTAAAAGTGGGAGAAATGCAAGCCATGAGGCTCTGAAATGATTTCAGAAGGACTTCCAGTTCCTTGTTGATGAAAGGAACCTAGTCTGGGGGCAACTACTTAATTTCTTTCTTGAGTTCTTTCTCCAGTTTAATCCCTTATGGGGCAATCCTGTCTAGGTTCAGTAAGTGGTCATTTCCTCCAGATGCTCTCTAGCAATTATTTCCTGACTTTTTAAGGGGGTGTCCAGGGGTACAGCTTCTTCTGAGCTGGGCTGAACTTCTTTAGATTGCAAATAGGAATGGAGTAAGTTGGTAAATAAGTAAGCAATGTTCTCCCTGTACACTGAGAAGAAATGGAGACATAAAACTGTGGTGGTGGATGGTTGCTAAAGGTCAACTAAGCCAGCCTTTAGCCTAGATGGGCATCAGAACCATTTTCAATCATCCATGATAAGTATCTGTCCAAACTGTTCTTAAAAACTCAAGAAATGGAGAAGCCTTGATAGCAGCATGACTTCCTCTGAAGGACATCTCCTGAGAGACTGGTGGGCTTCTTTTGCAGTTGGTTGAAAGTCCCATGTAGGGGTTGCAGTGTAGCCAAAGTGGTGGTCCACAATGAACAAACAATCAGCATGAACAATTTAGGTCAGATAGACCAATGTTTCTCAATCTTAGCAACTTGAAGATGGGTGGATGTCAACTCCCAGAATTCAGTTTTGGACCTTCACCCATCTTCAAGTTGCCAAGGTTGAGAGACAGACCACGGTTGGCTGAGGAATTCTGGGAACTGACGTCCACCCCTCTTCCAAGATTGCCAAGGTTGAGAAACAGTGAGATAGACCATGATTGGCTGAGAAATTCTGGGAATTGATGTCCACCCATCTTCAAGTTGCCAAGATTGAGAAACACTGAGATATAGCATGGTCTCCCTTGAGCCCAGGCTATCTCTTGGTTTCTAACGTAGAGCAGATCTATTTGGAGCATCTTTCTAGCTTGGCATCCATGTCCCCAAAGCAGTGCAAGATCCATTGCTGGCCCGTGAACAAAACCTGATCTTCTCTACTGAATCTCTCTTGTTTGTTTTTGGCAGGCAAAATGAAGCTAATGAAGATGAGGACTTTCTGCCCACGGGCGAAACGTCCGTCGATTCCTATCCGAACTGGCTCAAATTCCACATTGGTATTAATCGGTACGAGCTATATTCCAGGCACAACCCAGCGATTGGCATTTTGCTACACGATTTGGCTGCCCAGAAAATCACCAGTGTTGGTAAGTTGACGCGCCTTGTAGTTCAAGTTACTGTTGCCATCTGTGGGTAGGTGCCTCTGCATCTTCTCGGGCTGGATTTGGGAGATGCTTCTTTTGCATGAGTTGAGTTTGACTGTTGGTGGCATTTATATTTATAGTTATGATATTTAGAGTCTTTTTTTTATGCACTGCCCCACCCACCTTGGCCCTTAGTTCCACCCAGGTCCCCTGGCCACACCCCCTTTAGAATGCAACTGTTGAGTTGGTCCTTCAGGTCTTAGACCAGGTGTCTACAAACTTGGCACCTTGAAAACTGGTGGACTTCAACTTCAACTTGGCCCTTTGCACGTTGGCTGAGGAATTCTGGGAGTTGGTCCACAAGTCATCAAAGGGCCAAGTTTGAAGACCTGGAGAATTGTGACTTTCACACCTGAGAACAGATGAAGGTGAATAATGCTTAATTAGACCGACCCATAAAATCTATGTCAACTCTATGTCTGAATGAAGTTTATTGGGCTTTCGTCTCAAATAAAATGGAGGTAGGCAGAAGGTAGTTCACCCCACCCATGTTTTCATTCAAGGCTAACCAAACATATTAAACTGTGCTCCACTTTATCTCCAGGATATAACAGGTATTATACCATGTGTATTTAGCACTATACTTTTGGCCGCTGCCTGTGGAGTTGTTTTGTTTCTCCATGTACCCACAGGATTCTGGAAGTTGAAGTCCACACTTCTTAAAGCTGGCGCAATTGACAAACATTGGTTTAGGTCAGGGGTTGTCAAACCTGGCCCTTTTATGACTTGTGGACTTCAACTCCCAGGATTCCAGCCAGGCACGCTGGCTGAGGAATTCTGGGAGTTGAAGTCCACAAGTCATGAAGGGGCCATAGTTCCCCCATGTCTGGCTGAGGAATTCTGGGAGTTGAAGTCCACAGGTCATAAAAGGGCCATGTTTGAAGACCCATGGTTTAGGTAATGCCTAAATTGGTTTAGGTAATGTCTAGCCTGAAAAACCTCTGTTTTCTTCCTCCTTTTTTCCAAAATCCTTCCATAACCAGTGTTTACTGCAATGATTCAGCCTTGCCTAAAGCCGTTGGTGGAAAGAACTCTAATAATCTTTTATAGTAAGAGCTACTGGAACATTCAGGCTTTTCCAGGAGAAAGATGGAGACTCCATATTTCTGCAAAAAAAAAAAAAAAAAAAAGCAGTTTTGGATTCAGACCAAGTCTTTCTGTGCTGCCTAACTTTCCATATTTAACCAGGTTAGGTGCTGGCTGAGTTCAGCCTATGGGATAAGCAAACATGAAGAGATCAACAGTGGAGATCAACAGTGTTGCAGAAGCCATGATTGAGTTCTCCCAATCCTGCAGTAGATTGAAATTTGGAAGGATTAGGAAGAGGCTTCTGTCTCTTGAAAGACCCGTTTCTCCTTTTATTTTTATTTTTGTTTCATTCGGCACGACTCTCTTAAAAGATTTAATTAGACTGTCAAGGTTTCAACCGAATGCAAGCAGGACTTTGCTCAAGGAAAGGTGAGGTGCGTTGTGTGCCTCTTAATTGCCAGAACCAAAGTACAGAAATGACCATAATTAGCCATTTCTTTGTGCAATTGAAAATTTGCATCTCTAATAACGCCACCAGCGTGAGCCAACAGGCTCCTTAATTAGAAACCCTGCGTGCGTGGTGCACAGCATCGAGACGCAACATGTTAACAATTCCAGCCGCCTCTTTTTATCCTTATTAAAATTAGAAGGAAGATCACCCTTGATTTCCACGTCTGCAAGGCTTCTTTTATCTTCCTACCTGGCCAGAATGTGCTCATAAATGGAATCAGCTCATTTCTAACATCCCCAAGCATTTTTCGCTTGGGTGGGTCATGTAATTAAAAAGGGTACTGCAGAGTTATGGAAAGGAAGAGGACTTTGTGTGTCTGGGAGAAACTTCCAGCAAATGAGTCCAGAAGACGTGGGATGTTCTAAACCAGTGGTTCTCAACCTGTGGGTCGGGACCCCATTTGGGGTCGAACGACCATTTCATGGGGGTCACCAAACCATGCTGTCCACCATTTTGTTCCCTTTTCCCTAGCTGTCCTACTCCCTCTTATTGGTGGCCACACCCACTTGGGGGTCACCACAACATGGGGAACTGTATTATGGGGTCACGGCATTAGAAAGGTTGAGAACCACTGTTCTAAACGTTGTACATGTGACACTTACGATGAATGTTTAGGTGATCCAGCTTCTTCTCATGAAGTAGTCCTATGTTTTGGTCCAAGGCTGGGGAAAAGTCCTGTCTTCAAGGAAAAACAAAGTCCAGTTGTCTTTTGAAAAAGCAACTTTGGGATAACCAGCACCTGGATGACTGCCAGTCTCCATAGACAGATAAATTAGGCATTTTTTAAGGCATCTCTTTGCCCTCCTTTGCCCTTTTCCACCCAAGTCTTCCCTGAGAGCTGAACTAGAATCCAGACCAAACGAGATCCGAGATGTGGGCCAGCCAGACTGTCGTGTTTTCATATCACTTCATACGTCAAGTCGGAGTTTTGATTTGATTTGAAAGCTTGATGAGAGAGAGAGAAGAAAAGCATTATTTGGACCTATCAGATTGATTGAAAGGCACTTATTCTAACCCCTTGATTAGATGTCTCAGTTAGGAAAGCTGATTTGATCCAGGGACTCAGGAATATCCTATCTCCAAGTTGAAATGTTGCATGTTCTGGAATCTAATGTCTTATCAACACAGGAGTTAGTGGTTCCTATCCCACCACTCTGCATAAAAGCAAAACCATATGGTGTAATTTTTTGCCTTTCAAGATGCAAAGCCTACTGTAAAAAAGCAAAACAGAACCAAACCAAATAAATACAATAACACACTGACAACTAGCTGAGTGAATTTTAAATGTTGTGGGTCATTGACCGAATAAATATTATTGATGGATTGACTGATTTACTGATTGATTCCACTTTCTTTAGATTATGAAGGGAGTGGAAAGGTCTCAAAATGGTTGATAAACATCTGGATATAAAACTCAATGGCAGAGGGCCTACCCCACTGTTTTTGAGATTTTGAATAGGATTCTACAGCTGAATCAGGACAAGAAGCGATGGCTGGAAACTAATCAAAGAGAGAAGCACCCTAGAACTAAGGAGAAATTTTTTGACAGTGAGAACAATTAATCAGTGGAACACCCTGCCTCCAGAAGTTGTGGGTGCTCCATCACTGGAGGTTTTTAAGAACTGGACAGTCAGTTGTCTGAAATGGTGTAGGGTTTCCTGCCTGAGCAAGGGGTTGGACTAGAAGATCTCCAAGGTCCCTTCTATTATTCCGTTATCTATTCTAATCAGTTGAATTTAAATCTTGAAGTTTTTGCTAATCTGGGAGCCCCTTTATATCATTATCTGGAAACATATGAGTATTCCCACCCCCTCTTCACACACACACAAACACACACACACACACACACACACACACACACACACAACCTTCAGAGTTCCCCAGTATGTATGCTTAACTCAGGCTAAAGATTATCCAGGACTGTTTACGCAATCTTGAAAGCCCATAAAGATGCAAACAATACGTTTAATCTGTAGCCATCTCAGCAGCCCCTGGGCCAAGTGAGTGGAAAACTAAAGATGGGGTTAGGCAATCTTACACAAAGGTTAACCAAAGGCAAAAAAATTTTTTTAAAAAACCCATCAAGATCAGGCGATCAGCTTGACCCCCCCCCCCCAACATATTCTGCAGAGAAAAAGTCATAGCCGATTAAGAGGCAGTTTTGAATTTCAGCTGACTTTTTAACCTTTATTGCTTTCCGACTAAAAAGAATGCTGGAAGAGCTTGCAGCATTGCACAGTGGAGGGTTTTTCCACGACTCTCACCGGTTATGAGCCAAGCCTTAATTACAATCTGCTACCCAGCCCTTGCATTCTTCTTTGAGTCATCTGCCCTCTCACTTCCCAGATCATCCAGGTTGCTGGGATATGGCTCCAATTGGAAAAGACTCTGATCTGTGGAGCAGTTTACCTCTAAATTTGTGGATGGGTGTCTCCATCTCTGAAGGTTTTTTTAAGAAAGAAAGAAAAAGAAAGAGAGAGAGAGAGAGAGGGAGGGAGGAAGGAAGGAAGGAAGGAAGGAAGGAAGGAAGGAAGGAAGGAAGGAAGGAAGGAAGGAAGGAAGGAACAGTGTAGAAGAACAGGAAGAACTGGGGTCGGAGTCAGGCAAGTAATTAGCTTAGAGTCCTTATGTTCCCACAAGCAGTAGCAATAGCCCTTAGACTCATATAACTCTTCACAGTACTTTACAGCCCCTCTCTAAGCAGTTTACAGAGTCAGCATAGTGCCCCCCTCAGAAGGATGGAAGGCTATCAACCTTGAACTAGTCAGAATTGAACTGGTGACAGTGAGCACAGTTAGCCTGCAATAGTGAATTCTGAAGAAGAGACCGGACAGCCACTTGTCTGGAATGGTACAGGGTCCCCTGCTTAAACAAGGGGTTGGACTAGAAGACCTTCGAGCTCCCTTCCCACTCTATTGTTCTGTATTATTTTGTTTTATCTTGGCTCTATACCCCTTTCTTGACCTGGAGAAGTTTCCACCTTTTCTATGCAGTGACATAAGCATTCCTGTTTTCATTAGGTGGCATGTGAGCACCTGAAGGCATTTTTGACGTTAACTTAGGACCGTAATTTTGTGCTTTAGGTTGGTTTTCCTTTTAGGGTTCTTGTCTGTTTATTTTTGGATTTCAAGCCTGGCGATTTTATCGTAGTTGGCTTTCCATTCAGATTCGCCTCTCATTTTGCTTTTCGCTTTTTTAAGTATCCCCAGAGGATACTAAGCTACCGGTAGCGAAAGCAATCCATTAATTTCCTGGGGAAAGGGAGATGATTGGTTACTGGGTGAATGATAATGGGCACATCTCTTTGGGGGAGGCCCCGTTTGACGGATGACCTCGAAGTGCTTAACATAGCAAATAAAAATAAATCAGAATATATGATCCCAGTAGGCTGCAGGCATGAAAACATGTCTACTGCTGTTTTCCTAAGAGTTCCTGCAGAATAACAAGCTCGGCTGTGGAAGGGCAGATCTTCCCAGAATGTCCCAGTTTAGGACCATTCCTGAGTCATTGGGGAAACATCTCTGTGGGTCATTCAACCCTTCAGGGAGATCAAACTAGGAATCCAACGTCATGCAGGTTAGATGACTTTTATTGTAAAACAATCTGTGTCAGCCTTGACTTATGACCTTCATTCAGCCTGGAATTATAGTCCTAAGTTGAAGCATCAGATGATCAGATCTGAATTTACAGCTGCTTTTTTTACAACACTTGTTAGGTGGATGCAGTTGTTCAATGAATCCATTTTCCCCACTGGGTGTTTTTTGCTGGAAACCGAAAGTAACTGGCAGAAACCAGCAAAAAAGAGTCACAAATTGTGGCCACGTGACTGCAGATCTTGCAAACAGCTGTAAAAGTGAGCTGGTTTGAGACAAGTGCCAGACATGTCATCATATGAACCTCGGGGTTCTGTGGTCATCATAAGTCTAAACATGGTTCTTAGGGAGGTCTGTTGTAAGCTGGAACAACCGTTAAGCAAACGGTTGTACGTCAAGGACCACCTGTAGTAAACCTTGCACATCTGAATGTGCTTCCCTCTTCCCTTTATCTTCATGAGAACTAAGAAGGCTCTTAGTGACCCTTGGGGACTCCCAGCGACCCTTGCCTTAGAAGAGCTGTGGTGGCACAGTGGTTAAAGTGCAGCATTGCTGGCCAACTCTGCCCACAGCCTGGAGTTTGATCCTGATGGGTGCTCAAAACTGATTCAGCCTTCCACCCTTCCAGATTATTGGGGGCAACAGACTGACTCTGTAAACCGCTTAGATAGGGCTGTAAAGCACTGTGAAGTGGTATATAAGTCTAAGTGCTGTTGCTATTTCCCTACCTACCTACCTTCCTTCCTTCCTTCCTTCCTTCCTTCCTGTTAGAATGCAGTATTGCAGGCTAATTCTGCCCATTGCCAGGAGTTCGATCCTAACCAACTCAGGGTTGACTCAGCCTTCCATCCTTCCGAGGTTGGTAAAATGAGGATCCAGATTGTTGGGGGCAATATGCTTCTACATTGTAAACTGCCCAGTGGAGTGCTTTAAAGAGTGGCATATAAGCCTAAATATTATTGCTATTGTTATTGCTCTTGTCTAAGACGTTTTTCTGATGTTACTTTCTTTTATCTTGACCATTATCTCGATAGTAACTCTTCTACCTGTTCCTCAAGGCCATTCTTGCTGCCTTCTCCAAGTTGCTTCCAAACAGTTGCCCCTTGGCTGATTCAATGTTCAACGTTGGCCATCTCTGTTGGGTTCTCAGGAAGCTGGAGCTGTCACTGGGGTGGACCACTTCATCTCTCCCCTGCCTCTCCCAAACTTTGCTGCCTGTTCAGTTAACTCAGGTTGGAAATTAGGCCACCTCTTACACCGCTCGAGACATGTTCTAGCAACTCCACCCACCCGAGTGCGCCCGATCATGTTTTTTTAATGTCTAATCTATTTTTGTGCACGTCTCCAAGATGAAGCATGTCTTAGCCAGAACTAAGCAAGTGCTCCGAGCAACTATGAGTTTTTGCCAGAGAGAACTAAGAGTGAAACCTGGCAAACTCCTGGAGCTGTTGTTTTCTTTCAACAAAACAAAACAAAACAAAAAAGCATTGTGGTGTGTTTGTCTAACCTTAAACGCCCTCCCCGAAAATTTAGCCTACTCGGCAAATCAGCTTAATCTAATATGGGAAGTCTACATGCTCCTTCCAAGTCATTTCAGTGCCAATTGCTGGACGCCCTTTCATTTCTAATTATTTATTTATTTTTCGCTTGGGATGAGTGGGTAAAATAGAAGAGAAAGCTGGGATCAGCAAAAACCCCAAAGCTACAAGTTCTCTCTTTCTCTCTCTCTCTCTCTCCCCCTCTCCCTCCCTGCCCCCCCCCTCTCTCTTTCTTTCCTGGAGCAGAAGAGTAATTAAATGGACCAAATTTGCATAATATTTTATAGCATGGGAAGGGGGGGGAAAGAAAGATTACACCAAAAGGAGTAATTAAAGGAATGTATATCTAATGGCTCCAGTTTGAGGGTGAGATAGAATGTGCAGAGGGAAAGGGGATGAAGTGTAAAAGCAAATTAGAATGCAAAATAAGCAGGCCAGGTCAGATTTTAATCCTTCCTTCCCTTTTTTTTTGTTCCTGTGATTCAGATTCCACACCTTTTTGTACCTGTATTACATTAATGGTGTGGTTATAGATGCTCAGTTGGCTTTTTTGCCCCTCTTGCTATGAACATTTCAGAAGGATTGGGGGGGGGGTGGACAGAATAGAAGTCTTTAGGGATACTTGAGGGGCTATCACAGAGAAGACTCAAAGGCAATCAGACTTGGTTTTTTCCTTGAGACATTTTGCTTTCCTGAAGACCTTTCCTTGAAGGCATTTTGTTTCTCATCCGAGAAGCTCCAGAACTAAAGAACTGAAATGTCTTCAAGGAAAAACAGAGTCCAGTTGCCTTTTCAAAAAAGCATCTTTGGGATAACCATGATCTGGATGACTGAGATCCTCCATAAATGTCAGAGAGAAGGAGTCAGTTTGTTCTCCAAAGCACTTCAGGGTGGAAGATCCAACCTAGAATTAAGGAGAAATTTCCTAACGGTGAGAACAATTAATCAGTGGAACAGCTTGCCTCCAGAAGTTGTGGGTGCTCCATCAGCAGATGTTTTCAAGAGTAGACTGGACAACCATTTGACTGGGATGCTATACGATCTCCTGCCTTGAGCAGGGGGTTGGACTAGAAGACCTCGGAGGTCCCTTCCATGCAATTGATTCTATGTTCTACGATTGCTTTCTCCCCCTTTCCATAACAGACTGAAAGAAAAGTCAACATATTCATGCTTAAATCAATGCTCTCTCTCTCTCTATATATATATATATACTGATTGAAGCATAAATAAACATTAACCATATCTCCCCAGATGGGTAATTTTCTAAGTTAACATTGCTAGGTGTCAGCCAAGCCATATGGTGCAGCTTTATGTTTTTTTTTCTGAATTTTTTCTCCTCTTTTCTTTCCCTAGCCATGAAGTCGGGAGGCACCCAGCTCAAACTCATCATGACATTCCAGAATTATGGACAGGCCTTGTTCAAGCCAATGAAGTAAGTCAGGAATCGTCTGTCTGTCTGTCTGTCTGTCTGACAAAATTATTTGAGCAGTCTCTCTGGCTATGAATAAATAACCAGCAGTGGACAACCATGAGTTTGCATCCACCAAAAATGGAAGTTAGTCACATGCATGTATTGATCAGGCATAGTTGTCTTTTTAAACTTGAAACGTAACTGTTGGCAGAATGACCTCCTCATTTGAGAGAGGACTTCAGGCTTGTTGGCCACCTTCATCCCAACCGGAGGAATCTACATGGCTCAAGAAGGAAGACAAGTCTAATAGTCCAATGGTCTTCTTGATCTTCAGCCTAACATCCAGGAGTGAGGGGTGGGAGATGTTTGGGTTTTCAGAATTGTCCAAACTACAAAGTCCACCTTTGTAGCAAAATGTGGACTTATCAACCATTTCTGGTCTCTGATGGACTCAGACTAGAGATCCGGGAACCAGTTTCTGCTTAGGGAGAACATTGGGTCATTGGGTTCACACATGAGAACACATGAGAACATGTTCCTTGGGTCTGGGTTCACACGCAATGTTGGGTCATGAGATGGTTTGTTTGCTCTTGATTGAGGGAAATAGGTGAATTCAACCCTTGAATGTTTAAACCTGGCTTAGATTCTGTGTAAAGCAGGTTGTTCTGTCTTCTCAGCCAACTAGAGAATTGGTCTTCTAAGTGGTCTTCAAAGGAGAAGAGAATCTTGGTGAGGTCCTTCAGGGTGAAGTGTTGTGTTCCTTCACCTTCTCAGCAACATGGTGGCCCAAAGGTTAGACTTCTGGTTTTCATCATACAGGGTCTCCTCAAATAGGTAAAATGGCTTCTCATGCTTCTGATAGATGCCAAGGGAAGACTTATGCAGGAACTCTTCGTGGGTCCATTTTTTCAGAGAAGTATAAGTAGCTAGGAGATGTCAGAGTGATAGCAAGGTGGCGTAGAACAGAAGACACCTCCAGCAGCATTTATCTCCTCCACATCTTGAATTGATGTCTCTTTCTTCTTGCCTTTATAAAATTTGTGATTGGTGTTAGAGGTGAATTAACACCAGTGAGGTTTTGAAGTTTGCAACATGCCCATCAAGGGCCATTTTTGAAACAAGGCTTGTATTGCTGGAAATGCAAAGAGGGCAGGAGGAAGCACGCTGGGCAATAAAGGCGGTGAGCTGGCCTCTGTTCTGATTGCTCCCTGGGTGGGATTGCCCTTCCAAATTAGAGGATTAGAATAGCAATCAAAGAACAGGAATGGAGGGACAAAGCATGGTGTGTTTAGGTACACTTGGCAGGGAGGGAGAGGGAGGGAGGGAGGGTGGGAAGAAGGAAGGAAGGAAGGAAGGAAGGAAGGAAGGAAGGAAGGAAGGAAGGAAGGAAGGAAGGAGAAGATAGAGGAAGGAGGGACGGAGGAAGGAAGAAAAGAAAAATAAAGAAGGAGAAGATAGAGGAGAGAGAGGGAAAGGAATGAAGGAAAGAAATAAAGAAGGGATAGAGGGGAAAGAAGGAAAGGAAGGAAAGGAAGGAGGGAGAAGAAGATAGAGAAGGGAGCATGAGAAGGAGGGAGGAGAGAAAGGAGGGAGGAGAGAAAGGAGGAAGGAAGGAAGGAAGGAAGGAAGGAAGGAAGGAAGGAAGGAAGGAAGGAAGGAAGGAAGGAAGGAAGGAAGGAAGGAAGGAAGGAGCATTGTTCCTGCCGCATTTCAGCAAAGTCACTTAAGGCTCCCGAAGGCTTAACGGAGCCATTCAGAACTGGCATTAGTCATCCCCGGAATAATAAGCTTGTTCCCCGTGCTTTGTTTCTGCTGCAGGAGAACAAAATTATTATTTCCTTTTAAGTGGTTCTGCAGAACTCAGGAGGGGGAAGAGAAGGACTTTTGAGCACCTACTTAATATTCCATCTCTTGTGCCAAATAATAGGTGAATTTATTTCCTTGTCCCTAGCAAGGCCACTGGCAAACTCAGGAAAAAAAATAAAAATCAAAAATCATATAACTAGCCAGAGCAGATAGGTAGAACCATTCCGGCCCATCCTTGCTGGCTGGGGCTGCTGGGTGTTGTAGTACAGCAATATCAGCAGGCCAGGATGCTGGTTGAGCCCCCGCTTTCGAAGATGCGATTGTACGGGGAATTTTTTTTTTTAAATGATCTTGATTGTTGAGGGTTGCTTTTAATGCATAGCAGCCTGCCAGAGCCCCACTCACGAGGAGGTAGCTATATAAATGGAATAAATCAATCAGTAAACATTCTAGACAGCTAGGGGTTCTCCAGCGGTGTCTCAGAAGATTCCCCCCCCCCCAAAAAGCCCAGAAGGTGATTGGCAAGTGTCCTTGCTTGACCTGAAGATCTTTCTTGCTGGCTTGCAAAAAGACAAACTTCTGTGCTGAAGGAACCACACTCTGCACCTGATCAGCAAATTCATTGGGGAAGCCAGCAGGAAAGGCTGCGAGTCGCGGCTGTAGGAGGTCTCGCTTAATGACGGTCATGATTCACTTCACCGCCGCAGCAAAAAAAGAAAAAGAGGTTGTAAAATCGGGGATGGTGATGCCTCGTGTAAGGACCGCCCCCCTTAACAAAAAAAAGCTTGGGCTCCCAGTTGTGTCCATAAGCCGAGGACTATCTGAACGTTGGGGGGTGGGTGGGAATAATCTGCTTTTTCTGGTTGATCTGAAATCCTTCTGAAAGCAGAGCGGGGGGGGGGGGATGGATCTTAGAAGACTTTTGCAGCGAGCGAAGCCAAGTTGGCAAAAACCACTTCCTTCCATTTGGGGAGGGGTGGGGGGGGTTACCCTGTTTTGTTTACAAATCCCAACGCCCGTTGTAAATTCTGCGGCTAATCCGGTGTGAATCCAGGCAAAGGAGAACCCTTTTGGACCACTCCAAAGGAGGTTTTGCATCTGACAAAGAGAATAACAGAACAGAATAACAGAGTTGGAAGGGACCTTTAAGGTCTTCTAGTCCAACCCCCTGCTCAGGCAGGAAACCCTATACCATTTCAGACAAATGGCTGTCCAGTCTCTTGTTAAAAACGTCCAGTGTTGCAGTATTCACAGCTTCTGGAGGCAGGTTGTTCCACTGGTTAATTGTCCTCACTGTCAGGAAGTTTCTCTTTAGTTCTAGGTTGCTTCTCTCCTTGATGAGTTTCCATCCGTTGCTTCTTGTCCTGCCTTCAGGGGCTTTGGAGAATAGCTTGACTCCCTCTTCTTTGGGGCAGCCCCTGAGATATTGGAACCCTGCTATCATGTCCCCCCTCATCCTTCTCTTCATTATACTAGACCTACCCAATTCCAGCAACCGTTCTTGATATGTTTTGATCATTCTTTGTCCCCAAATGTCAAGGAAAGTGATGCTGTTCTATTCCATAATTCCCAAGCTTTCTCCAAACCAGATATATTTTCTGCTCCTTTGCATCTTCTGGACAGCATCTCTCCCACACAAAGCCCGGAAAAGACAAACAAACTATTGCACAGAGGTTTGGGGGGTGTATGTCTTCAACCACAGCCCAGGGAAGGATAGTCTTTCCAGCACACCAAGTTTATTTTTAATTTTGCTTTCCCTTCCACCAACTTTTCTCCAGAGGAGAGATGGGGTACACGCAACTGATCGAACCTATATGCTGTTGAGTGCTTAGTTCTATGGAGGTTGTACAATCTCGTCTTAAACCTTTGTCTGAAATGGTGTAGGATCTCCTGCTTGAGCAGGGGGTTGGACTAGAAGACCTCCAAGGTCCTCTTCCAACTCTGTTATTCTGTTACTCTGTTCTCCTGGTCCTTCTCCATGGCCTCGCCCACATTGGACCCAGGGGAGCTTCATCATCTTCTTCTTGCCTTTATAGGACATTATTTACTCTCAGCCCACATTTCCTCCCTTCAGGCTCTTGACCGTCCCCTCATTTCCGTGACTTATTTAGGATGCCCAGAATCCTTCCCACAATTGTGGTGTAACCCAACAGCAAACATAGACGGCAAGTTAATCTTGGAAGCGGAACCGAGGGCTCGTGGAAAGTTAGGCTCAGGAGCTGCCAGGCGTTGAGGGTAGAGGTTGCTATCTTCAGAGGGTCAACTGGTTGTAGGTCAACCACGTTCATCCCGAGAAATGTCTTCTCCACTGGGTCGAAAGAAGACGAGCCAGGGTGTTTACTTGAGTCTCTTTGCAGCGTGGGGTGCACCCTGCAATTGTGGCTCAGCTCCATCGAAAAAGAGAAAAAACAAGGGCAGAAATTACAGAGTGTTGTGGACTAAAAGGAAAAGAGTGTTTGGCAGCTCCTAACAAAGTCCTGTGGCCAGACTTTTTTCCAAAACATGGGAAGCCAAATTTGCAAAACCTTGGGGAAGGGCAGTTTCAGGGGAGAAAAATCTATCTGTCTGTTTATCCATTCAGCCATCCATTAAGCCAGCCACCCATCCTATCATCTGTCTGTCTGTCTGTCTCTATCAGTTATCATATATCACCTATCATCTTTAGATCATCTCTCCTATCTATCTATCTATCTATCTATCTATCTATCTATCTATCTATCTATCTATCTATCTTTCTACCTACCTACCTATCATCCATCTATCTATCTATCTATCTATCTATCTATCTATCTATCTATCTATCTATCTATCTATCTATCTATCTATCTAGTCTGCCTGCCTGCCTGCCTGCCTGCCTGCCTGCCTGCCTATCTATCTATCTATCTATCTATCCATCCATCCATCCATCCATCCATCTATCTATCTATCTATCTATCTATCTATCTATCTATCTATCTATCTATCTATCTATCTATCTATCTATCTATCTAGTCTGCCTGCCTGCCTGCCTGCCTGCCTGCCTATCTATCTATCTATCTATCTATCTATCTATCTATCTATCTATCTATCTATCTATCTATCTATCTATCTATCTATCTATCTATCTCAATCATCCTTGCCTTACGACTGGATTATGCATACTTTGAAAAGAAACCTTTTGGAATTGTGTGGGAGTGCAGAGCACAACCCAACCTCTCCCAGTCTTCCTTTCAAGG